ACTCTCCCCCTTACCCTGAGCCTGACATGTCCTCTCCTTCCCCAGAAAACCACTGAGATGAAAATACATCCATGGAACTGAACATTGATGAACCATCTGCCACAATGGGAAGGTCGGCTCTCCTGTCAGAGGAGTGCATTCAATTTCAGCATCTCAGGCTGTGAATGGAGAGCCGAGGACTCCGACTCTGGGCCTGCTGAGCCACACGAGAGCCACAGAACACGTGGAGGGGTGCCTGGGCCTGGGTGCTGGCCCTGGCTCCAGCCGTCTCCATGCAGACAGCCAGCCTGGGCCTCTCTCCCGACAGGTGCTTGGCTGACACAGCACTTTCCTGGACAGGCAGAGCACAGTCAGAGCTGAGCCCGGGGCGTGACAGCCTCCTACCTGCACTTCCACATTAGCCACACTGGGTCCCCCTGCCTGCCCCCGTGGACCCCCTTCGAGGGGGAACTGAGAAGTCTCGAGGGAAATGGACAGAACCCAGACTCACAGCAGCTGCTGCCTCTGGAGCGGAAAGCCCTGCTCTGTATCTGCTGGCCAAGCAGCGCTTCAGAAAACCCGGGAAGCACAAACCGCGGCTTTTGGATAGAGAACAAGAAGTCGACACTCTGAGTGCGTCAGGCTCAGGAGAAGATAATGCATAATGACCAAATTATCATGGTCTAAAATCTCTGCCAATTGCATCCAAATTAGCAGGAATAATTATGATTCACTTTAATTAGTGACTATGGAAGCGAAGCCTTGGGCTGGTGGGCAGAGCCTGGTGTGACAGCCAGGAGGGAGAGCGTGTCCCGGCCAGCGAGGCCGGTGTGGTAATGGGCCCAGGACCTGCAGCCATTGGTTTTTGCTGGTCTCCCGTCTTGTGAATATCTGCTTTGTTACAGACAGTAGCCCCACCCCCCACCCCCCATCCCGTCATTGCCCGGCCACCAAGAGAACCCCCAGGCGTCACCACTCACTCCCACCCTGTGAGTGGGCTCCACATTGCTCCCACATTATAGATGGGGAAATGGTGGCTCAGAGATCACTGTCATACCGGAGCCTTGGCTGTTGTCCCCACATTCTTCCCTTGTCCCTGAGTTGGGGTCCTCTGGTTCAGCTCCATGAATGAACTCGTCTGCCCATAGACCTCCCACAGCGTGAGGACCCCCAGGCTGCAGCCCACCTCCCACATGGCTCTGGGACCAGCTGGCGTGTGCCCAGGCCTCCTACCTTGAGAAACAGCGCTCCCTTCGAGGCCAGGCTGTCGACGCCCTTCCCGTTGGTGTAACAGTGATAGACTGCGTCCATGATGGGGTAACGGCTGGCAAAGAAGAGGCCGCTGTTGAAACACTTGAAGCAACAGTGGGCTTCGCAGCAGCGGCGGCAGCAGCAGCAGCCTTGGCAGCCATAGACCCCGACATCATACACGATGTACTCGAAGTAGCCATGCAGCTGGTTTTTCAACTTGGTGGCCGCCCGCTTGTCAAACACCTCTTGCAGACACAGGAAGTCCAGGTTGGCGGGGAAGAAGGCCGAGATCTCGTGGTCAAAGGCCTCGTCCGGGTGCCGCCTTTTGCGCGCAGCTACCTTCTTCACCACCGAGGCCTTGTGCGGGGCCTTGCCGTGGGTGGCGCCTGGCTCCCCACTGCCGCCGCTGTCCAGCCCGGCGCGCGCCTTCACCAGGGACTCCTTGGAAGCAGAGCGGCTGCCCAGGCTCCCCGAGTCCCCATCCCGCCGACTGTGGTTGGGCGTCTGGCCCAGGGGGCCCCCGCCAGCCCCATTCCTGGCCTGGCCCCCAGTGGCAGGGTCGTCAGCCTCGGGGTGCTGGCCTCCCTCATCGCCACTGATGCGCACGACGCAGGCATTCTCAAGGCTACTGCAGTCGATTGGGTCTCCGGAAGCCGGGCCATTGGCGGCCTCGTCACTGGGGTGACGCCCACTGTTGCCCTTGTAGTCCACAGAGGCAGTCCTCTTAATGCTTCCGGGGACAGCCCGGGCCATGCCATCGCCCTGGGGTGACACCAGGCTGCTGAAGCTGGCCGCGCTGATGGAGGTATTGGTGGGCGAATCGATGTAGATTTTTATCTGGGGCCGACTGGCCCCGTTGCGGATTCGGTGCCCGATCTCTTTGGCCCGTACTTGGGTTTTATAAACGTTGTTGTGCCTGGCCAGTGACTCGGGGAGGAGGCAGACGTTGGCCGTGGCAAAGCAGAAGCTTTTGCCAGGACCCGTCCCCTTCCATTCACGGAGGAGGGCTGCCCCGCCAGCCGGGCCCTTGTCCTCCAGCCGCGAGTAGACGTAGGGCCGGCGGGCACACTGCAGGGGGCACCAGAAGAGGAACCCAAGAAACGCGAAGGGCAGTGAGGTGACCAGGAAGCCCAGGTAGATGGGCATGAAGAGCACGATGCAGAGCAGCTGGTTCTTCTGACAGGGCGCAGGCGTGAACAAAGCCAGAAGCTGGTCCAGCAGCCAGTAGCATGGGAAGATGAGGTACCAGGACACGGCGTGCAGGGCAGACAGACAGCTATTGGAAAAGGGGGTCGTGTACAAAACCATCGCAGCTCACTGGGTGCCGCGGCCGGCCCTACTACATGGTGTCCGTGGCAACGCAGGCACGTTCCTGGGCGGGGTGGGTGAGTGGGGGACAGCAGGAGGAGGGGTCACGTCCTGGTGAGATGTGACTTGGGATGGATGGTGGCGAGTGTTGGCCAGCCAGTCATGGTTCACCTCAGTGGGCCATGCTAGGCCACCAAGGCCTGCTGGAGAGCCTGCAGCACAGAGAGAAGAGGGCTTTTTATTAGCTTTTAGGGGAGCAGATTGGGTGCTGGGGCTGTTGTCCCTGTTTACCCCATTGCTGCTTCCTCTGGCACGAGAAGGACTGTTCCCACGACCAGACGGGAGCTAGCTGCTCACGGGGTGTCTGGGGCTGGGAGCTGTCCCGGCACACTTCTTTGGCCTGTGTGTGTTAGGTTTTCTTGGAGTAAACAGCTTGGTGATGTGACTGTCTCTGGCTGACCATCTTGATCTTATAACCTAATTGCTTGAAATCTGGCCCAGGATTTCAGAGGAGCACAGCTTTGTGGGTGCTGACGAGGCAGGTTGGGGATCCTAGAGGGTATCTGGACCTGACACTGGCCCAGAGCAGCTGGGGTGAGCCTGGGAGGGGCCTCATCGAGTGTCCACCAGGTCAGAACGAAGAGGGAACAAACCACAGGGGAAAGCGGCTAGACTCCTGGGGAGCAGGGCTGTGTGGCTGGCAGGACCCCGGAGGGAAAGCTCCCCACAACCAGGTTCTCACTGTACTCAGCCTACAGCATCAGACCACTTCTGCATTTCACTCCCACTGACCCCCAGCAAAAATCCCCACCTGGCGGGGGTCCAGGCCCAGCCTTGACTCTACTAACATCCAGAATGGTCCCTGCAACTTTGGAGAAGCCCCTGGGGCCTTGAGGATCTGGCTCAAGCTTCTCCTTTAAGCTCCCAAGATACAGCTCCTGGGCCCAGCGGAGGCCGAAGCTGCTGGAGTGAGTCTACCCCGGTCCCTGTCTCAGAGCAGACTCTGGGGCTCTGCCCGGGTGAGGTCAGCAGGTGCATTCATTGTGCTGAATGTGAAATCTATGCAGACAAGAATGTGGGGTGTTTACCCAGCCTCTGGGGACACATAGTGATGAGGCTGTGGTGATGCTTGTAGGAGCATAACCCAGAGTTTTCGTCACCAGATCAGCTGGGGGATCGTGTCCTGTCTCCAGCCCGGCCCCACTTCTGCCTTAGAGGTGGGGTCAGTCCATGTTGCCACTCATCCTGGCTTTCCCAGGCGGGTTTGTCTGCCCCGAGGGGGACTGTCACATTGTGTGAGGACTCGAGCTTGGCTGAGCCCTGGCTGTGGACAGTTCTGGAGGAAGGATCTGGGAGAAGGAGAGGGCCTGTTCTGTCTCTGCCACATCGCCCTATAAGCAACCTGGCCCGTGGTCCTCAGGTTAGAGGTGAATGTGGCCTCGCTTGTAGAAGGCTTCCTGAGTGAAGTCCCTTCTGTTCTCTGTGGGGCTCGACCCCAGCACTGGCTGATCAGGGTTGGTGTTTGGTTTTAGCTGGGACAGGACTGGGCGTGTGTGTGTGTCTCCCTATTCAGCTGTCCTGTGTCCTCACTCCTGCTCTGGCCCTAGAAACCTTCTGGGCAGGTTCCTCCCAGCCCTGCCTATAGTGACCGCGAGTGGCCAGGCCTGATCTTCCTGCCTCCCCTGGGCTGGTCATCGGAATGTTTGTGGTCCCCACTCAGGTATCGTTGGGTTAGGTGGCCCAGGGAGCCAACAGGTATGCTGGCCACCATGGCAGCCCTCTGAGATGTGGCAGATCCGAGCATCCCAGCCCTTCCCGCCTCCATCCTAACCCTTTGCGGCTGCCCTGGGTCCCCTGCCCAGAGCCCCTCCTTTGCCGCCCTTCAGCAGTGCCCTGGCTAGAAGGAGCTGCCCACCTGCCCTTCTCCCACCGGCAGCCCCTGCATGTACCCCAGGAGCTGCTGACGCAGTCGAACAAAAGGGCTTGCCACCGATGGCGCTGGTTTCTAAAGCTCTGTGGTTATTTTGTCTCAGTGAAATGAAAGGAGGGCAAACAAACAACAGCACATTAATTAGTCTGATCTATACTTTCCCCATGAAAGAGGAGAGTGAGAGTTAAATACTGGAGGCTGGCAACCTCTCTGTGAGCCCCAGATTCCTCGCAGGGGTGGCAGGGCAGGATGCGGGCCCACAGGCACCCAGCCTGCACCCCTGTCTGGGCCCTTTCCCTGGCCTGTGCTCTTGGCCTGGTGGGACATTGTGGGTGGCCCAGCCCAGGCTCTGTCTCCGGGAGAACACCTTCCTCTCCTCCGTGCTTGGGTTCTCTGCGTGCCTGTCCTGGGGCTGCACCTTTGCCGAGTGAAGTCCACCATGGGTATCTGATGGGGCTGACAGATCCCTCGAAGGCCATGTGTGCTGAGCTGTCACAGCTCGCCCCCACAGGCTGGGTTCTTTCAGATTCCTGTTTTAAAGCCGACAATGACCCCTAGGTTTATCCCTTATGAATCCTGGTGTGTGGCTTCCAGGGTTGCTTGGGATGCCCTCAGCCCCAACACTACAGTCTCCAGTACTGGACTGGGGTCCCAGTGGTGGTGATGGTGGTTGCGGGGGGGGAGCGCTGTACAGTGCTCAACAGAGGGTAACCTCTCTGTCCTACAACTGGAGACCCCAGACTCACCCCTTATCCCTCATCCCTGCCCCATTGCTGCACGCTCAGCTTGGGCTCCAGGTTCAGGCTGCCCTGAAGGACACCCTGGCACGGGAGTCAGGCTTGCTGAGCCCCTGTCTTGTCATCTATGACATGATGGTGGCGATCCCTGTCTCCCAGGGCTATCAAGCGATCATGAGGATGAAAGCTGGACAGGCCACTAAGATGGCTGGCCCTGTTTCCTTCCCCACTCCCCAGCCCTTGTTGCACCTCTTTGGCCTCTCCTCCCCTGAGGTTGGCCCGTGTGCCCTGTTTGCTCTCCAGCCTGTGGATTCAGTAGTTTGAAGGCGGTACTAGATG